TCGCTTTGCACCACGCAAACAGAAGACATATCCAGCGTAAAATTGTACTAAATATAAACTGCAAAGCACCTTTCTTAAGTGAACGGTTTCAGCTCTTTAATTCTGTTTCTTTTCAATACATATTTTGAAGCTGGTTTTAAGATCTTTTTGTACACAGTTTTAGGTTTGACTCATATAATAAGGTGAATTATAATAAATAATGTTTTTAGGTTTAACTTTTATTTATAATGTGTATTTATCTAATTCAGCTTTATGAAGACCCGAAGCAGAGAAGCAGATACCCCACTAGCTTTTCTATGCAAAAGAAGGAATAATGTGGCTTTCATTATTTTAATGCACGTAAAAATAGGTAAGCTCAGTTTCAATTCTGACTAAGGAAACGTAGACGATGTCTGAAGGCGATTTCTCAGCTATGTAATTTTTACCACGACTCTAATAAAGTATCTTTTTAATCCTGTTTCAGATTCACTGTAGAAGAAAATTTTATAAGCTGTTATTGCATTCAAAACATTCCATCTATTATCACAAAGTTATCCTAAACAAATTGCATTCATTGGCTGACATATTCTCATGACGTCAGTTTATTGTGGTGTGATGGTAAAACCGCGTATAGAAAATTAATCGCCAATGATCGGTTTGTAGTGATATAACAATTGAGAGCTACTCAAGATCAATGCAATGCCTTTGCAAATGCATTTTATACTGGTTGTGGTCTGGATTTATTCTCAAGGTAGGGAGATTACAACAAATAAACTTAAGCATGACAACTAAATTCTAAATTAAATTTAATACTTAAAAGCTCTGCTAGGCTGCTTTAAAGGTATGGAATGTTGTTATGATACTTGTGTTTATTCCTATAAAGAAAGTCCATCTTGTTAAAAACGGACCTCCTCTTGACAGTGCTCCTTACAGTTCATTCACTGAATCAACTGAAAAGGCAAATTTTATTTTTCGGTTCATTAGTAAAACTTTTAGTTTTAGCAGTAAAACTATGAAGCCGGGATTAATTAAACAAGGATGAAAATAAAACGTCAAGTGATTAGCTTGGTCTTCAAACTAGTCTTCCAGAGTTAAAGCATTAAGATGCAGCCTTATCTATTTTATTCCTTGCCGCAGAAAAATTCCTTGATGGAATTGTTCAATTTCCAAAATTACGTTTCTTTTTTAAATTTTTGATTTATAATGAGGCATATACTAGAGTTATTAGTTTTCTAACTCGTTTTAGTACTTCATAAAACAAGCACGAGCAGTTAAGCCTAGCTAGCAACGTTAAGCATTTTAAATTCCAGCAAACTAGATTTATTTCGATCAATTAAATGTCTTTTTAGAGTTAAAAATGTTTTAACTCACGTTATATTTCACACTTGATTGTTCTCCGTTGAGGGCGACAATGTTGACAGGTATCCCACCCCCTAAAGATTTACAGAATCATATTTGAAAATTCGCTCTGGTTGTCGGGCCGCTTTTGGGAGTTGTTCGTTCCCTTCTTATAGCGGTATCCGCGCGTTAAAAGGGAAATAGGTGTGCTACGATTTGCATTAATTTGAATGCTTAATTTGTATAGAATGCAAGATCATGAATGTCGCATTACTGATGAACCTGATTTGAGAGTTTTGACTTTCCATAGCCGCTGTGTTAAAATGCATTCCAACCTGTAGCCAAATCTATAGTTTAGATGAATTTTCGTTCCCAGACAAATTACGTTTTTCGTTTTTTTTTAAACGTTATATATGTGGCAGAGTTTCTCTTTCGCTAGCAATTTACGCGTTATATTTTTACACAGAAATTTTTCTTTAGCACCGATTTAGTCAAATGGGTGCGTCGCTAGACAACGCGAAAAGTTCCCTGGCAAACCGTGAAGCACCTCAAAATTGACTCGTGTTTTATTGATGGACTGAAGTTTTGTTAAGAATTAGCTATGTCAGGGCTGAAGTTATTACATAAGAATAAACGATGGAGACCACGCCTTATTAAGTTATCAATTTCCAAACATGGAAAATTTTTCCTCATGAAAGCTAATGGTAATTGTCAAAAGGTGGACGAATAGAATTTGAAGTGTTTGCAAATTCAAATACATACGCCAAAATTGACATTTCCGCACATAAATGTTTTGTACGTACAGCATTTTAGAAAATGGGTATTAAACCCGTGTAATTAAAATGAAGGAAAGTTACTCTTTATCCCAAGAAAGCAATGCAAAAAAATTCAGCTTGGTTTCGGAAAGCCGTTTTCAAAGTAACAAGGATGCATCAATGTCAAGTTGATGACTCCAGTTTTCATTGCCAAAAGCTAGTCGAATTTCTCGTTTTGAGGATGGCATGGATATATATATCTTACCAGATGTGGAAGGAATTCACGCGGGGCAAGCATACTTTAAAGTGCCCCTAACCCTTCAATTTGTTTTCTTTTGGTACATTTCCATATCTTTCAAGAACTCATTTTCGAAAAAATTTTTTAGAAATATTGAATCCTTTTTTTTTTACGAGCGCTAGAAGTGAAGGCAGTCTTGTCAATATTTTCACCTATCGTTCGCATTAGTCCCCCACTCGGCCAAATGTGTCCAAATATGGAGCGTGACGTAAGAAAAGGACATCGTGCAAAAATATCCGAAGATTCGCGGTAATGCTTCAATTGTAAACAGAGAAAATGGTTGAAAAATGTGTGGTTTTTGGATGCAGCAACTCTCGAAATGTAGAGAAAGGAATCAGCATGCATAAGATTCCTTCTGATAACGATCCGAGGCCTGAAGTCCGCCGAAGAAGACAACGATGGATAAAGTTCGTGAATGAGACGCGCAAACACTGGATCCTGGGAAAGACTTCTTCGATATGCTCAGTGCATTTCAAGCCCGAAGACTTTACAAGACCTTTTCAGTCTAATCTAAAACGACTCCTTAGGGAAGATGAATTTGGAGTTTGCGTTTGGCCAACCATCCATGTTGGAAAAAGAGCAAGTGAAAATGAGCATCAAGGTTCCCCAACAAAACGACAAAAGAGAATGGCAAGTAATCTTCTATTAGACCTGCTATTGTCACCCTGTTTTAGACAAGTATTATATCAAATTATGAGCAACGTATTCTTCCTTTATAGAATGTCAGATCGGCCAAAGAAAGGATGTCCAATTTGGATTCGTCGTGCGCAGCCACTGAGTTAGAGTTATCGACTGGTCATCAGGACACCACTCTTGATGTGAGTGTATTAAGCTGTTCTTGACTTTTTCTGCCAGTAAGCTGGTGATACATATTTTGCCCAGATAAATTATTAACGTCAGATATTTTTAATAGGTGAGTTGCACAGAACCAGAGACCAGTACAAGTCAGGACACCACTCTTGTTCTAAATGTAAGTTTTTCTTCACTGTTGTTGATGTACACGTATCCCTTTTTTCTGCCAATGACTCTGTGAAATACACTCTGATACATATTATGCCCAGACAAATTATTAAGACCTGGGGCCCGTTTCTCGAAAGTCCCGATAATTAACGGGCCCGGTAGGCTGTCTCGGTTGCCATTAAAGATCGAGGTTTCAATAGTTTTGCATCTAACAAGATAAAACTATCAGTTAACGAAACAAAATGCAGTAGTTTGCTAGCCAGGACCCGCGCTCTTATTCTTTTTATTTCGATTTGAATATTTGATTTCGGGCCCGAAAAGTTAACGGGACTTTCGAGAAACGGGCCCCAGGTATTTTTTATAGGTGAGTTGCACAGAATCAGAGACCAGTACAAATCAGGACACCACTCTTGATCTAAATGTAAGTTTGTCTTTATTGTTGTTGATGTACATGTATCCCTTTTTTCTGCCAATGACTCTGTGAAATACACTCTATGATACATATTTTGCCCAGACAAATTATTAACACCAGGTATCTTTCATAGGTTAGTTGCACAGAATCAGAGACCAGTACAAATCAGGACACTACTCTTGATCTAAATGTAAGTTTTTCTTTACTGTTGTTGATGACTGTACCTGTATCCCTTTTTTCTGCCAATGACTCCGTGAAATACACTCTGTGATACAGATCTTTCCCAGATAAATTATTGCCACAAGTTTTTTTTTTAGGTGAGTTGCACAGAACCAGGGACCAGTTCAAGTCAGGACACCACTCCTGATCTAAATGTAAGTTTTTCCTCACAGTTGTTGATGTACCTGTATCCCTTTTTTCTTCCAATGACTGTGTGAAATACACTCTTTTTTTGCCCAGACAAATTAATAACACCAGGTATTTTTTAGGTGAGTTGCACAGAACCAGGGACCAGTTCAAGTCAGGACACCACTCTTGATCTAAATGTAAGTTTTTCCTCACAGTTGTTGATGTACCTGTATCCCTTTTTTCTGCCAATGACTCTGTGAAATACACTCTGTGATACATATCTTGCCCAGATAAATTATTAACACAAGTTTTTTTTTTAGGTGAGTTGCACAGAACCAGGGACCAGTACAAGTCAGGACACCACTCCTGATCTAAATGTAAGTTGGTAGTCATGTTCCATGAATGGCATGACAGTAAACATGTAGTCCTGACAACAGTCTGGAACCACATGCAAGCTAAATTCATGCAACGAATGATAACAAGCTAATGCAAAATTATATCAAGGTGCATGTTATAGCCTTTGGAGGTCTCCCTGATTTACATGTAGTATTGAACTAAATGTACATGCATTTAGTTAAAAGACCTACTTTAGAACTTCAATTTCACAACTCATGGCAACTGTTATTCAGATCTTGTGTGACAAAATGGCTAATGTTAATTTTTTAAAGGTACAACATAAGTCTGTGCAAACCCTAACTGACTCGACACAAAGCAAACTACTACGAGAAACAGAGGTTCTGCAAGGGAAGCTTGCAACTACACGTCAGGCCCTCCAGAGACAGACTGCAAAAAATAAATACCTCAAGAAAAAAGGTAGTGTAAGATAAGACTTGACAAGTGTAATTCATGACTTATACCATCATAATGCCTGCGCAGCAGTCAATCAGAGCACCTGTACTATTGTAACCATAATTATAATAAAATAATGTTCAGAACAAATAGGTGGTGAGTAGTGAGTTTTTTCTGGCATATTTTCGGGGTCTATTTATGTTTTGAAGTATTTTTCAGGGTTGAACATTTTCATGCCTTGGTATTTTCAGGCCATTTTTTCAGATCTTGTGGCATGCATTGCTATCTTTTTCACCTAAAGTGCTTCTCTACTAACCCAACATAACTGTTTTATTTGTTTCCACTTTTAGTACAACAACTATCAAAGAAACTGAATGAAAATGAAGAGAGTGAAAGGAAATTGAGTGCTGAAGAGCAGGAGGAGGAAGAAGAGGAAGAGGGGGATCTAGAAGAGGAAGAAGATCAATACGCTGATGAGGAAACCGATACAGAAACAACTGAAGAAGAACCTGATTTTACTTCTGGATCCAACTATGAACCAGCCAGTGAGAGTGAGGAGGATGGCGATGCTGGGGATTCAGATGTTGATGAAGTTTTTAAATCGACCCGGTTAGAAGACATACTTTTTTTGCTAAGTGATAGCTGACCACCATTCCTTGATATTGAGTATAACAAGCTTGTATACAAGGGTCAGCTATTGACGATTGTAGCTTAAGCCTTTATATTTGCTTTCAGAGTCAAATCACCAAAAGATGGCAACCTTAGGACCAAGCCGAAATTTATTGTCTTCCTATCACAGCTGATGTTGCTGTTCCAGTCGTGCCACTTTTGCAAGGGCAAGAATCCACCAGAAGTTGAAGCTCAACAGATTGGTACCAAAGCTGTCATCACCACTGTCTGCACAAATCCAGGATGCTGTGCAGCCAAATATGCCAGGTACGAAACTTCCTGCTGGGAATTTTCTTCTTTGCATGTCCATCCTGTTCGCTGGTGGTTCAATAACAAAAATAAGACAGATCTTCAACCATATGGGTTTGGCATGTGTATCAGTGAACACCTTCTTCAAACATCAAAGAGTGAGTTAAAATTAACATTTACCTTGTGTTGTGATGTGCTGAAACCAAAAAAGAATCATTATTCTTGGTTTGCAACCATGTGACAAAGCTGCCATTTTAGATGACAAAACAATATAATTTTTTTTACAGAATTTGCATGAAAAAAGAGTTTAGTTCCCAGGGAAGAGATACAATTTTATTCTTGTAATCCAGCATGGCCGCCATGACGTCAGCTGCAAACCAGCAATAATATTAGTTTTGTCTCAATTTGTAACAGAGCACCTGTTCATTAGACAGGTCTGTAATAAAAAATATTAGATAATTTTTTTATATTAGTAAACTCAATTCCCTCTTTGTTCTGAAAATATCTGGTGTTTCATTTTTTCATACTTTTCAGAGTCATCTGTTCCCTACTGTGCACCTCTTCTGGAAAGATTATCAAACCAGGCTACTGGCAAAGCTGAAGGATCTTGGTACTGGCCTTGTACTTGCAGGCGATGGGCGTCATGACAGTATGGGGCACTGTGCCAAGTTTGGTGCATACACCATATTATGTTGTACAGCCATTCCATCCATAATCCATTTTGCACTTGTACAGGTATGCACAACATGGATGGCTACAATAATATTATCTTTTTGAGCAAAGCAAAAAATTTTTGCTAGGTTTACATTCTTAGATCCACAGTAAATTTCAAAGTATTGTGAACACATGCAATTATTGCAAAGTGGTTAAGGTAACTAAACCAAATTATGTTGATATTTTCCTTTTTCAGAGGAATCAAGCTGGCAACAGCCCTGCAATGGATTTCATGGGTTTTCAGCTGTGCATGAACTTCCTTGCTGGATGTGGCATTGTAATAACCATCTTTATCTCAGACCGTCACACCCAGATTGCAGCCTACTTCAAGACAGTCCTCAAACACATCACACAATACTTTGACCTCTGGCATTTAAAGAAAAGTGAGATTAAAACTTAGTCATCTACTCTGACTCCAACAGCTCCCCATTGTGTTTTGAGCAGCAACATGTCTTACTTAGAAATCTTGAGAAAACTTACAGAAAGCCTATGGGTCAAGCCTCGATGACATTAGTTAGAATATTTATTTAATAATCTAATAACTTCTCCGTTGCTTTTACATGTATAACAGTTGTTGTCATAAGCAGTTATAACATCTGAATTTGATTTAATCATTGAAGATTATACCCTTACAACAATGCACATGTCATATCCAGTTCACATTATTATAGTACTGGGTTTAAGGTTTTAGCTAGAAAACAGCTATGTAAGTAATAATAACAGTTGTAGGAGGCAAAATAGGCTTTGGTTTGAACCTCTCTTCAATAAATCAATAATTTTTGTGTTTTTATTAATTGTAAATAGAGATCAAGAAACTAATTTCAAAACTTGCAAAAGAGAAAGACAATGAGCAGCTCAAGGAGTGGATAAAGCCATGCACAAACCATCTTCACTGGAGTGCTACAACCACACCAAGTGGAAATGGAAAAATCATCTGGGCTAAGTTTAAATCATTCCTAAGCCACATTGTTAACAAACATTCGGACTTA